ACGACTCAGAGGGAAGGTGAGTGTTGTGGCTTTTGCCCACCCTACACGCAACTGTGTAGGTACTTGCAAGCTGAAGAAGTTCAAGGCTGCAGGTTTGCTGGGATGAGGCTCAGGCCAACTTTTATGTCTAGGCAATTCCTAGTGAGCACTCTGGGCATTATCAGAAGAGAAGGAAGGGGGGGAAAGAACATAATAGGCTTTCAGCTATTTTATGTTAACTGAAACCATTTAGTGAGTCCATTACACAAATATATTTTGTCCTAATCCATGTATAACCTGCATATAACCTGCACTTTGCCATCACTGCAGCTACTCACCAAACTCACCCTTCATTATTTCTGTAGTGCCGCCTGTGCAGTGCAAACACTATAAACCAAGAGGGGGGGAGCATTTCCAACATACACTCATAAAAATAGATGGGCAAGGTGGAAACCCACAGTTAGACATAAATGGGCTCCCTAACGTGCCTGCAAATAAAATCACTTTGTATAAATAGCCATGGGAGATGACTAGGCTAATAAAAAATCAGGAAAGAGAAAGGGGACAAATTATTTTTCCCAGGTGTTCAGTCTGCTCAAGCTTGGAACAACTTCTGTAAACAAAGAGGAGGTGACGGGCACATTACCTGCCTTCCCATGTGTCCCAGTTACTCCTGCACCAGTTGCATTTTCCAGTTGATATCCAAGTGTATATATATAGTTTGTCTTTGTATAGGAGTGAGTGTGGTGGCTGTCAATCGTGCTCTTCCAGTATTGTAATTTAACAGATTATGGCTGTATGAAAATGATGTAAATAACTAGAAAAAATTAAACTGGATCTCTAATGTCCTAGTTTTTGTACATACTGAAACTGCATGGTATTTAAATTATTGTTTGTCTCTGATGTATGCAGTTTCTTAAAAAAATTCATTTAAAAAAAGCATTTTCGTGCCTGTGTATTTTATCACCCTCTGTCCCAGTGACTGAGAGTGTAACACATGGATGCAGTCAAGGATACAGCCCTCCTGCTGCCAGGCAGGCTTGCCCACTTCCATGGGGAGCAAAGCAGAAGAGTGAGGTTTACCAGAGATGATCAGTGGAATGTACTGAATGGGCCACAAGCACCATTGCTGAGCTGGATCAACAAAGGTGTGCAAAGGAGGATGATGGTACCTCTGCTGCTAAAGTTGTACCCAACACTGTGCTAATGAAGAGCAAATCCAACAGTCACACACAGAGCCACAAACACAACCAAACCCCACCTGTCACCACAATGTTGTTGGTACAGGGAATGCTGTGCCAGCTGCCAGCATCAACGTGCAGCATTTGCCAGCTCTACTCTCCCTTCCCTGTTCACAAGCCTTTGTCCAACAGGCAATATCTGGCGGCAAGTAGCACTAGCAAGTGCTGTTGCTGTTTAGCAGAGGAGCCTTTCCTGCACATCTATATTGCCTTTTCATCTTTTTTTTTTTCCCTCTTTCCCCTGAGTAGCTTCAGTAGTTGCACAGCATTTCAGGCTGTGACAAGCTGAAGCCTCTGTGTAGTGAAGAAAAAACTTACCCATGAATAAGTACATACCCTCAAACAGGCTCACTGGTCTCCAGCAGAAAGTATTTAAGGTAACAGCTCTGCTTAGGCTCTTCAGTTTTTGTAACTGATGGTGCAAAAATTCTGACCCTAAAGCAACAACTGACACCCAGCATCCTCACAGTAACTGAAAGATGGGAGCAGTTCCCTGACACACACATAGGCTTCCAATTAACAAAAATTGAAGATCTGTGTATTTTAACTGACCAAATTCTGTTCCTTTCCCTTGTTGATAGGGAGACACAACATCATCAAAACTCTGGTATGGGCCTTTTTGGTTTGTTTTCATTTGGGTAAGTTTTCACTGAACTCCTTAAAATCCTTGTTTGTATGTATTTCCATTCTCACAGCCAACAAATTTGTAGCTATCCAGTGAGGCTTGGATAAATAAAGTAAACAAAATCATAGTTTTTGACTAAAGATCCCCTTTTCCCGCAACTAGATATGGCTTCCATAGCAGCAGTGCAATGTGGTTTGGTTACATACAGTAATTTCTGTGATTTAACAAGAAAAATATTGGTGAGGATACATTGTACAGGGAATGTGAGAACACAGCCCAATCTCTTGCACTGAGACCTCTACAAAAGGGATGGGGTTTTATGTTTTAATGGAGGTTTTTCATAAAGCCAGTCTGAGTGAAGAGATGTGTGTGCTTTCAATGAAATCTATGTAATTACTAGCAATCAAATTGCAATCCAATGCCATCTTCAGGCAGGAAACAGAGGAGGCTGAGAAACCCAATTCTCCATTTAACAGACACACCTGGCTTGCTACCATGCTCCTCCTGGATGACATAAAGGTTAACAGAAAATAAATATCACAGATAACCCCTTCTTCGTATTAAGTACTTAGCCAAGGATTTCAGTGTGAGGCTCAACTATATGCAACTTCAAAACAATCTATGTCTAGGAGTCCATAGTAGATAAAAGAGAAAACTTTAGTGGGATTTCCCACTAAAAGTGCCAAGCTGGACACCACAATTATTGAGCTGGTTTAGTTCAAGAGGTCAACTGCAGGCTGATGACAATTGCTGGAGGCACAGACCCAGGCTTCCCAAACAGTGGACTCTGCTCCAGGCTGGGACTTTAAAAGTACCTTGTCTCAAGTTCCCCCTGATTGTCACATGCTGGGGACAGTGGAAGCTCCCACTGTGCTCTTCTGCTCTCTTGGTAAGCAGGTCTCTGAGCTGAAGCATTTTGCTCCACTCAGCATATGAGCAACTGAGCAATCGCCAAAAATTAACTGAGCGTAAGTTAGCCAGATTCATACTTCCTGTCTTTTGGGAATTCAGTACATTTTCTGCATAAACTGATTCCCTCATAAATCCACAGTGAAAGTTTGTGAATGGATCCATTAAGAGACACACAAATGTCTCTTACCAGATTCGTGAAGGAAACATGGACTTAAACCACAATATCTTCTCTAGAGAACTCCTTCAGGATAGCCCACAATAAATAACACACTCTGCATTAAAGTCACACTCCTGCTCCCTCTTTATACATAGAACTGAAAAAGCTGCCCACAAACTTCAGGTGGACATTACAAGGGAGCAGCATTTGAGGATCCATCCCACATACAATGAGATGTTTTAGTAAAATTGCTGTTGGTCATGGAAACACAAAGATTTTTTACTGGGAGGGTGACCAAGCACTGGCACAGGTTGCCCAGAGAGGTGGTAGAGTCTCCATCCTTGGAGAGAGTCTCCATCTTGGAGACATCCTTGGAGCCACATGAACATGGTTCTGGGCAACTGGCTCTAGGCAGTCCTGCTTGGGCAGGGAGGTTAGATCAGATGGACTCCAGAGGTCCCTGCTGGCCTCAGTCTTTCTGTGATTCCATAAAAGTTGATCTCTCTCTTTTGTGCAGTTCCAGGGCCTGCCTATTGATAGAGAAAGGCTTCTTTAAATTAAAAAAGCGTTTGGAGCCTTCAGTCAAATAGTAATTGGAGGAACACTCACTGGCAAGTCTGGAAGCAGTAACGCTGACTGGCATTTCTAATCCTGATTCAGTTCACCTCTCTTCACAGAATATGAGTTATTGATTCCCCTTCAGGACTGAAACTGCGGAACACCTTCAGTGTCATCGGTGTTTGTTTTTTCAATGACCAAGTAATCTGCTGTGTAAAAGCCTAGATAATGCACCTGTACCTTTGGGGTTGTGTGAATTACCAGTGCAGCCTGGGGGAAAAAATCTTCAAATAGGCAATCTCTCAGACTACACCCGTGGCCATTATTTGAGAAACTTGTGCACTGCACCTTACAGAATGCAGTGCTACTGTTCACAGAATGTGTGTGCTCTTTCCCATCCCCCTTACCCAGCTCCCATGCCTACTCTGGGAAAGTAGTCTCCCATCTGAAGTGAATTCACTGGATTACACTACAATGCAGGCACAGCAATGGATTCCAAAGCAGACATGAACATGCTTTTTCTGAACTGGCAAAACTTGGACATTCCAGAAACACTAACTGCAGCATCTCAACCTCCGGCATAGGTCATGTTCCCAGGGTTTTAGGGGTAACCTGAGCCGCGTCCCAAGCTTCCCCAATCAATGTGCTTGAAGGTAAACCTGACGTAGTTTAAAACAAAAGTTTCTGAAGCATTTCAAGTTTGCCCTACACCGAGTACAAGCTAAACACACTCTTTCAAGTGTAATGAGCATACTCAGCATACTGAACATCAATTTGAGTCAACTAACAGCTAAGCAACACATTTTTATATACAATTCCCTGGGCTATGCAAGAAGTAGAAACAGAATTTTACCCTTTTACAAGAAAAAGATCAGTTCTCCAGTAAACCTCTATCTATGGCTTCTACTTAAATCATGAATTACATTTCTGTATTAAATGTGTTTTGAAATCCAAGCCAAACAAGAATCAAATTACAACTTTGAGCCAAGCACTCAACAGAGTTGAGTTATTACTGGGCTGTAATTCTGAATTTTACTGACTCATCCCAACTGATTTTCTCCATACCTGCACAGATCCACCTCTCTAGAATATCTTCATGAAGAACAAAGACAGAGGTACAGCCATAGAGAGCTGGTTGACAGATAAAAAGAAAGTATTTTAAAACATTTCAGAAAAGGACGCCACTCCGATCATTGTGACATCCTGTACCTCAGCCTTGTGAAGCCTCATTTACCTGAAAATTTACAGTATTAATGGAGTACAATTACATTTCTAGAAAGGCATGCTTGTCCACCAATCCAGCAGACTAACATTCAGTACATTCACCTTACAAACACCTCCAAATAATAACTAGTTATGTCAAGCATAAGCTGGCATACAGAAACATTTTTAAATTACAAGTCTATTTACCTTGCTTCAGGAGTTAGATTTACTTCTTCATGAGCAAGAGAGCACACTGCACAATCAAAATACTGTAGCTGGCTGACCAACAAACACTTTGGACATGATCACACCACCGCTAGATATCTTCATTCCACCAGTATTTATTGAAAAATATTTACATATTGGTGTTGTGACCCACCCCAGAAAGGAGGGGGGGGTTTACCCAGGTTCTTATTAATAAATTCCTTGGAGTGGATTAGAGTGAAAACGACACTGAATAATCAGTGTTTGAAAACATATATATGTAGGGTTTATTTTAGAACAATTTTGTTTCAAAGGTAAACAGGTATGGTGCCATTTTGGGTGTTACCGTCTATATCTACCATCTATAGCATTACGGCAATCATTAGGATAACACTTAAGGAAATGCATAAGGGAGAGAAAGGGAGAGAAAGGGAAAGAAAGGATAAAGGTGGAAAGATATATATAGTCAATGCACACAGGGTCCAGCGATGAAACTTGGGGTTGCAGCTTCAATGTCTATTAGTTGAAGTGGTGGTCTTGATCCGTTGGGGGTGGGGGAGGGAGGTCCACACACTCAAAGAATTTATGAGTTATCATATACTTCCAGAACACCTTGTACCTCCCCGAAGTGGGGAATTTTACCATGGAATAGTGTCATGGGCCATGCCACGAGCCTCCAACGTCTCCTGGGCATGCGCAGAGCTCCTGTGAGGGGCATGGTAAAAGGGTTTTTCTCGCCTTTCAGGATTGGCGCGGGGATGGGCTTTGACAGGCGTGCCACAAGCCTCCAACAGCCCAGGCCAGACACGCAGAGTTCATGAGAAGGGCATGGCAAATATGGCACTTCCCGCCTTTTCAGGACTCGACCCCTCAGCAGCACTAGTGGGGGGATGGGCCCTGCTGGGTGAGCAGCCGCCTCTTCCCAGCCTGCAAAAAACCTGGAGATTCTAGAATGCGCAAATCATTAACCTTTTCAGTCTCTGCCAATTGGTCACTATGCTTTAATAGCATTTTTACATAGGTTAATGAAGAACATCACACTAGGATGGGGGAAGAGTGGTATAATGTCTTTTCAAATGTCTTTTTTTTCCCAAGTTGTCACAAGCAAAGAGAGTTCTCAGACTGAGTGTGCTGGAGTCCCACAGTGTGTGCGCCACAGATCAACAGCTTTGCTGACAATGGCATCAGTGTTGTCTTGAGGAATCTACAAAAGATCAGGGTAAGATGCCTCGTCAGAGTACTTCATTTGGACTGTTTTGTTTAAAATAAAGATTTTGAATTTCCAGTTCATATTTTCTCTCCTTAGAAAAAAGAAAACAAAACTAGAATCCCACCTCCCTGCCCCACCATCCCACCAGTCCTCAGTCCTACACGCACCATATTACCTCCAGGTTTTGGACAAAAAGCTTTTATTTACAAAATGGTAAGGTTACCATCCAGACATCTCACACTTGACACATCCCCGAGTTGACAGCAGGCAGAACTCACACTGGCTATCCATGACCACAGACATATCTCATCTAACTAACCTGGGTTACACTGGGACCCTACAGCCCTGCTGTGATGCTCATTACTATTCAAGGTCAGGAAAGTTCAGGGTCAGGTTCATGACCCCATCCTCACATCAACAGAAAACACATCTTCAGTCTGTAGACCCGCACTCAGGCAAGAAGCAAAAAAAAAAAGCAGCCAGAAACCAACCCCTCTAAGGAGCTTCCAGAAAAAATAACCTAACCACCTAACCTCACCTGCATTTACTTTCACAGAAAAACCCTTTAGTATCACAAGGAATATTGTCAGTTCTGTACAAATGTAGATAATACATTCCCCAAGCCTAAAAATAACTTCAATCTATGAAAGCCTTACCTCCTTATAGAAAAAATCATTATTCTCATTCCTGTGCATTTTTCCTTCACCTTTGTACTACTCCACTATTCTCAGTAAGGAGTGTAATAATATCTCATGGTACATCTGTAATAATATCAATGGTACAGCTGCAAAAGGCAAATGACTAAGGCTGAAACACACTTTTATAAAAGCACAATAGAGTACTTACATTTTCCAAAAACTGTGTGATCTTTTCTGCAGTATTTAGCGCTATTATCTTCATTTTAAAGGTTAATAATATCTCCAAAGCAACAAAAACGAGAATCTTGCAGGACCCACTAATAACTTTGTCCCAAACCCTACAAGAAAACGAAAAGGAATCACTAAACATTATTGCAGTGCTTATCTGCTTATTTATCTGCTAGAACAGCCTTTGTACAATCACCTCTTCCCAGATTATTTTTCTGAGTAACAGCAATGTATTGAATTATTTGGGTCAGGGTAAATAAAAGACATTTTATCAACTCCTAAATCTGTTCAGAGCAGAGAGATGGCAAGCAGTAATTGCTATGTACTGATATGGTGTGTTGCTGTTTAGAAATTGAACTGTTTACAAGCTCAAGTACAAAAAGCAAATCTTGTTTTAATAGCCTGAACTGTAACAACTACTTTACCGTGTAGGGTAAAGGTTAAAATTTTTCCTAGTGCAAAAAAGAAGAAATTAAATTCATTAGCATGCCTAATATACTCTTTCAAACAGTTAGGTAACTGAAAATTCAAAGGGATGTAATACTGAACTACTACATCTTAAGCAGCTAAATATTCCAGGCCATTGCTGTATATGATACAAATATGACCTATCAACAGGATGTAATCCATTATGTTTAAATCAGGCACAAGGAACAACTATTAAGTCTTCCAATCCATCCCACTGTGCAGACCCTCTCAGAATTACCTAAGCACTTCTACCACTTGTATGAAGCTGTACCTGGATCTCAGTTTTAAGAAAACCTGAAGGGCAGGGCTCCAAAGGCTGCATGTACTTCAGTAACAGAACTTGGATGAACATTAAAATGGATCCTTACTACCAAAACTACCAACAATTTGAAATCATTCTTCATCCAGTAGCTCTCTCTCAGGCCCAGCTCAACATACTCGCGACAAAAGAATATCCAAAACCAGTGTGAAACCATCTGTCAGATGGCAGCTTTTATGGGCTTGCATTATTTTTAGTTCTTGAATTTTAAGAGCTGTGTCAGAAAGACATTCTGAGTATTACAGATCTTGCTCCTTCTGGGCACTTGTTCAAAGTACTTCTCCTTCCAAATAAAATCATGGGGGACAAAGATCACATACCATCCTCCGTAATTTCTGAATACAGTCACACTAATTGAAAAACATCTTCTGCAGCCCACCTATAAATCTGGATCTGTGGATGTGCTTCTTCCAAAGGCAACTCAATTTTTGTATGACCTCTTCCAGACAAATTTGCCCTTCAGCCCAGAGTGCCAGCAGAGTACAATGCAGGCACAACATGAACTTTGACAGCTGAATTGAAGTGTAGGTATCACACTTTTAAACAGTGAGAGCCAGGCCAAGAGCCATTAAGACGATGAAGGGACTGCAGCACCTCTCCTGTGAGGAAAGGTTGAGAGAGCTGGGACTGCTCAGCCTGAAAAAGAGAAGGATCTGGGGAATCTCATCAATGTACACAAATACCTCAAGGGAGAGTGCAAAAAGGATGGAGCCAGGCTCTTTCCAGTCATGCCCGGTGAAGGGACCTGAGGGAACAGGCACAAACTGAAACACAGGAGGCTCCCTCTGAACATCAGGAAACACTTTTTCAACTGTGAGGGTGACCGAGCACTGGCACAGGTTGCCCAGAGAGGGGAAGTTGTCTCTCTCCTTGGAGACATTCAAAAGCCGTCTGGACGTGATACTGGGCAATTGGCTCGAGGCAGGCCTGCTTGAGCAGAGGGACTGGTTGGACCAGTGCCCTCCACAAGTCCCTGCCAACCTCAAACTTTCTGTGACTTTCTGGTGAAAAGCTTTATAACTTGCTGGAAGGCTTGCTGCTGCTACACAGTTCTTATTTCTCACACTGTGGCTCAAGTCAACTCTTTATCAGTTTCTTAACCTCCCATTCACATAAATTTTTGACACTATTTTCACCACCTCTCCATTCATCAAAAAATTTAGACTAGATTTTAACTTACAATGAAGAAAGGAGGAAAAGAATATGTAAAATCCTCAGGACTACTCTTAAAAAAGAAGGAAACAAAAACCCCACATGGACAGATGGGGAAAAAAAAGGTACAGCCTCCCCCTTGGCAATTTAGTTTTAATTCCCTGTCTTGTTATGACAAAAAAATGAGCATAATTCCCGTATTGAGAGGAATAACACATAATCCAAGATCAAAATCTTACTGCTTCCTTTGCGGTTTGAGCATCCCAGGACAAATTATCACTGTAAGTATTACACTGATGTTGAAGTCAGGTCTAGGAGCTTTGAGCAAGGCTATGAGAAAACTGAGACAATGGCACTGTTCCATACTGTACAAGTCATCCCTGTTTATTTCTAAAGCATTTTCCTTACCAAACACATCTGTTTAGAACCCAAGAACAGTTTCCCCATGCGCTTCATGCGCATCAGAATTATGTAATTATGAATGACAATTACAAAGAGCAGCAAACCTCAAAAACAGGAAATAATTTTTAAAGTTAATATTAAAGCGCATGTTAATTCAAAAACAATCCTAGTATAAAACATCTAGTCTTCTTTCATTATTTTGCTTCCAACTCTCCTGACTTTAGTCTCCATAACTGCATTAGGTTACATGCTACGCTCAGAAAACACTCTATTGTTTTCCTGCATTATTTAGTCTGATTCCAGAACAAATCTTTTAACAATGGCAAAACGGATGCAGTACCTAAATCACCAGCGTCTTCACAAATTTTGGAAGGTGCTGCATAGAGAAGTGGGTGAGACGCCAGCACTAACCAGCTGTTCTGCTGCAATATTTTTCCCCTTAACACTTCCAGCTATTGTTACTCTCAATGCAATGCCACCAGCAACACTGTGATCAAGAGTCAGCACCTTCTGTACCAGCAGAGCCAGGCAGAACAACATAACTGTGTCAAAAATGGAAAAAAACCACAGCAGATTAATAGTAGAACAGAAACATCATGCTACTGCGCCTATAGCCCTACTCCGAAATGCTGAAAAAGAAGGTATATGCTAAATTCCCTACATTTGTGTGGCTGTCTTCCTCTGTGAAATATAACCATTCAATTAACTACAGGAGCATTCTTGTAGGTATTTGTCTAACAGTGAAACAGTAGTGACAATCACAAGGAAAAATAAAAAGAAACAGGAAGCACTTAAAGCAAAGAGCATGCCCAGGATTATGCAAATAAAACCATTTACTTTTCACTGAGCTTTTTCCATAGACAAGATACCACTTACTCTGTGGGCACCTGTGTGTGAATGGATGCCATTCTCCAGGCAGCTTCTGAAGTTCCTATACTGCTACAGTGCAGTAGGACACAAGAAGCATCACAGCATTGCTGCTCTCCCTTTTTCTGAAATATTACCATTAATCTCACAGTTAATGGTACACCCTAGGATGCAGGGTAAACACACTCAGCCTTTTTCCCTGGTTCTGGTCCTCCAGTTGTTCAGGCCAGAGATATGTAAAAAGAGCCAATGCTTTCTCCTCTGCCTGCACTTCTGGGTGTCCTTCCAATGGTAACTGGGCATGGAGGGACGTAATGAGGCTCACACAAATCTCATCCTGATGTCATGTCATGATCTTGTGCCCACCCATTTACAGAGCTGAGAAGCAGTTCAGTTACTTAGGCAAAGGCAAATCAAATTAAGTTTTTCCACAGTAGTAGCCCACATGCACATTTTTATGCCCTCCCACTCCACAGTAAATTTAAGGCATTTTTCATCATATTTCTGTTGTTTCTACTAACTAATTACTTACATTTTTACAACCAGATGTAAATTATGCAGGACATGGAGATCACAGATGTAAAACTACAGAAGCCATACATTAATACATGAGGTAGTGTCAGCTGGAAAGTTGTAAATTTCAGAAGAATGACCAAATACTTTGCCACTACCAAGTTGCCAGAGACTAATAACCTAACACCACTCTGCTAATGCCAAGCCTTCAGTGCAGAATACAAACAACATTACTCAGGGGCATGTTACATGATTGGCACCATTAGGCCATAAAAAACGCCTGGCTCATTCACAATTACAACTGCAAAGCTGCACTACTTCTGTTGTGGCTGGATCATCTGGGGTGATAGCGCTGGATTAAACTGGCAGCCAACATGCCATTTTGCCTGTAGAGCTGAAGCCGCAAATGGAACACCAAGCTCTAAGAGTCGGGATTTCTAGCTAAGGGCCCACACAGCACCATTGGAAAGCTTTCCAGGCATGGCTTCCCAAACAGATGACCGGATATGCTGCTGCAGAAATCAAGCAAACAGGGTAATGATGAGTATGAAAACAATGGCGTGATCCATTTATCTCCCTGTTTCACAGACAAATACACCTTTCTGTCCCTCTTAAACCTGTGCTACAGACTGGTTCATATTCCAGAAAGCACCCTGTCTGTATTCCAGGTGGGATAGAGAGTCTTTGAAATGGCCAGTTTGCTCCTCTCTTTTATCAATATGGCACCTTTAAGAAGTTTTAAGAAGCTTGCTGAATAATATGTCGAGTGTATTAGGGCACACAAAGAAACTGCATAAGCTCAAAGGAAATGTTTCTACCTGAAACCTGTCTATATACGTTTTCCGAGCCCATTTAAACTAAACTGATGCATAAAGTTTACCTATGGTGTGACTGAAAGTGTGCTATAAAAGAGTATTTATATTGAACGGCAATGCCCATCAGAAGTTGATATTGTGCAAAGTCATCCCACCACTATCAGAAAAAAATTCTGCACAGCATATACAAGCCTCGTACACCTCAGAGAAAAAAAAAAAGAAAGAAAACCATGAAATCTAGATTTAGCTGCCTGGCAGAGAAGACTACAATTTATAGAAAGCAATCAACCTCTCCAAGAAATACAGTGCTAAATCATAAGTTAAATTAAATCATAAAAGATTGTGTTCACATCATCTCTCACTTGACAAAAAAGTAAGTAAAATTCACAGGAGAACTGGAGTCCTGTTTTCAAATCTCAGCAGTTCCAACACTGTCACTTGGATACATTTCAGATAAGCATTCAGGCTTCTAGATTCTAATCCAAACCGAATCTCCAAGTATTAATTAAGTTCATTTGTCACATGCTACCCATGAAGTATGTTATTTCCTTAGTGAATAAGGCCATTATGATTACAACTGAATAATTCAGAAACTTAAAATGCGAAGAAGAAGTGCACTTTTATCATGTTCCCACAAGAACTGTTGGGAAAAGGGACTGCTCTGCCGTTAGAAGAATCAACATGAAAATTTGTTTTTACTCCATAGTGATACTGAAAGCCAATATTTTGACCTTTTCCATGGGAGGAGGTGGGGGAAGTATTAAAAAATTCCAGGTAATCAAAATATTCTATTTCCAGTAAGGTCAAACAGCATATATGAATGCTAAACATGCATACTGACTAGACAAAATATTTTACATAAGTAAACTGATTCAAAATGGTAGAAGTTTGAAACTAAAGATGAAATATGAAATCAAAATTCTTCATCTACATTTTTTTCTTTTACACTATCAAGATTACACAGCTCCATAAAATGTTCTATTTTCAACAGAAATTTTAAAAAACCCTTCTTCTTCCAAGAGCAAAACTGCTCTGATGCAAATTCCTCTTTCAGCAATAGTTCTCAGCCATAAGACTAAGTAGCAAAATTGAATCACATAAGCTCTAAATAAAAATATTTCCTAGGAGACGTGCAAAGAGGTTTCCAATGCAGCAGATTGCCAAGGCCATTTCAGATCACAAAAGCCTATGGAAAAGGAGGCCTGAAGAGACTGACGAGTCCTAGCTAGGGCAGTCACTTCTGACTGATGTTAGTTTACATTTTAAGGCATTAAGTTGCACAAAGAGAAAGCACAATTGAAACAAGAGCAATCATTACCTACTGAAAATAACCTAAAAAAGCAAATGTGAAAGAGATGTAGGTAAACCATAGGTGTTCAATTGCTTTTAAGGCTGTAACAAACACACCACGTACTTAAATAATTTCTGTAGCCGTAATAGGAGTAAAAGCTTTCCACCACCACATCACACACAACCAGTACACAGAGATGACTATTTTGGAGACTTATAGGTGCTTGATGAGAAGAACTTGGCATGTAACAATTACAGTGCTGCACCTAAAGGTTCAAAATGTTTTTTTCTCTCAAACATATTCCTTGCAACAGTAAAACATTCAGAACCTCAAGGGCCATGGTCCACCAAGAGCAGAGAGCATGATTTCTAATCTTACAGCTTGTTCTCTAAAACTTTGTTTTTATAAGGGCCAATAAAATTTTTAAAAGCAGCCATTTCTCACTTTTCTGCATGAAACATGAAGTTCCAGATAAACAAACAACACTGCATTCACTATTTAGATTACGACCAACTTTATCACCATAAAAGCATTTTATACAGAGCAATTTACAAAGCATCTTGTTTCCACACTAGGTTCCTATACTAACTGAAGCCCTGGAATTGATTCCCTTGAAATAAAAGTTCCCTTGAACCTTATTACTTCTCAAAGTTTTCAGGCTGCTGAAGATGAAACCATTGGTTTTTTTGTGCCACATCCTGTTCAGCTATTAGCAACTCTTATTAATGCAGAAAGAATATGTTTCTCTACATCCAGCTTGAATTTCCTGCTTTCCAAGAGTTCTCAGGCAGCAGAACTAGAGAAATAATAAAAGTTTCGTTTCAAAAGCCCTTCAGTGAAATGCTATGCACAAGAATTTTGCCCTATTAAAAGCTCAACGACCTATTTCTAGCTGTAGAATCCTGATGCAATCCACTATTTCATTAACTTTGTAATAGCCAACCTGCCCTAGGACTTTTTAAAACAAACGTTGTCATGGTTTAACCCCAGCCAGCAACTGAGCATCACACAGCCAACTGAGTCACTACTCCTGCCAATGGGATGGGAGAAGAATTGGAAGGGTAAAAGTAAGAAACAAACTTGTGGGTTGAGAAAAAAAAAAGAGTTTCATAATTTAAAAGAAATAATGACTTCAAAAAACTGTAAGGAAGAGAAAAAAAATAACAAAGAGAGGAAAATAAAACTTGAGACAAGTGATGCAAAGGGAAACAGCTGCCCACCACCAACCGACCAACAGCCAGCAAGTCCCCAAGGCAGCACTCCCCTCCGCCAACTTTCACCCCAGCTGTACTGCTGAGCATGACTCCATATGGAATGGGATATCCCTGGGGTCAGCTGGGGTCAGCTGTCCTGGCTGTGTCCCCCTCCCAGCTCCTTAAGCAGCCCCAGCCTCCTCGCTGGTGAGCGGAATGATGCTGTGTTAGTGCCACTCAGAAGTAAGTAAAACATCCCTGTGTTATCAACACTGTTTTCAGCACAAATGCAAAACATAGCCCTATATGAGCTACTCTGAAGAAATTTACATCTATCTGAGCCAAAATTACTATACATTCCCAAAATCTTTTTCATCTAATGATGATGATGTTACAGTCACTCCCTACGAAATTATTTTGGTTAAAAAGCCTGAAAACGACTACCATTCAGCCATCTATCACTAAGACAGGATTTTGAGTTTTAAATCCCAGGAGTGTCTAAGAGAATCAGCTGGTATACTTAACTCCATCCTTTTTTAATTTCAATGGGTGAAATGATCACACAGATTGATTATCCCACATCAGTAAAAAGTGGAATTAAATCCGATTTTATCACTTCCAGTCAGCAATAAACACCATAATCTTACAGATAAAGTACAGAAAGGTCTTTGCATGCTACTGACAACAAAAAGCTAAAAGTACTATGAAGTTACAAATTGAAAGAAGAGAACTTGCCTCTGTAAACTGGACTCAGGTAAACATCCTGCAAAACACTTTTTAAACCAAAGATCATAAGGGAGCTTGCTCATTGCAGCACATGCTTTCAGATGCATCAGGAGTCTGTTATCTTCAATGTTCAAATACTGCTCCAGAACTTTTGGCTGAGAAAGGATTGGAAAATTTTAGGTAACTCACATCAGAAAACCTTCATAGTTAATGCACACCGTAAGACATGTAACGTCTTAGAAATTCAACTGGCATAAAAAACATGTTAATATAATGAACTCGCACTGTTCCAAAATACGAGTGTTGCTGACTTTTGCAATTAACTAATTAAGTACTTAACTAAATAAACAAACTCAGCTTCCTTAAACTGCTGACCACTAGCAGAACTTCCAATATATGCAGTATTCCCTAATGCAAGGAGGTGTTTCAGAGCTTAAGGCAATGCAGAGATTAAACATCCACTAATTACTGTTACCTTCACAAGTAAAATTGAGTTTCATTCACCTCAAACCTAATCGCCTTAGCACACATCAAAAAGATCTACACACAATACAGCAAAACCCAGAAAATCAATTCTGAGAGTAAATCCCTGTGCAACCCAGTAAAACCTGGACATTGATTTATTGCTTAAAAACCCAAAGTATTTAGAAGGATAAACATGTGGATAATTTTCTCATCTTTTTAAATTTTAATGTAACACAATACACACTTTCATAAATTCAGGAGTACCTTTACGCTTTTTGTCATAATTAAGTAAACAGCTAATTACTTCAGCTGTCAAAGGGAGAAAACACTTCCTTTTTCCATATTCTCACCTGCAGAGTCTTGGTACTTGGTACTTGGTAGTTGCTTATATTACAAAAAAAAAATTAGGGAGGGAGACACTTGGTACTCTTTATGTAGTGAGAGTACACACTTTCTTTAAAAATACTCCTTTTTCCTTTGAAAGGAATTAAAGAAATCTGTATAGTTTAATGTATCAGCCCCAGAAATAGGAGGTAGGTTTAAAAATTATTTCTTGTTCCAAAAGACTAACAAACAAAGGGTAGGCATCATTTTCTGCAAAACAAATTTTCATTCGGTGCTTGCCAGTGCACAGGTACTCTGATACGTTTAACTCAGTGGATACTGTTAACTAAAGAGCTTTTATCTGTTAAGGCTATTTGAAGAATTACAAAAGGTTTTGTGATTTTGATAAGTATGCATTTTCTTTACAATCAAATTTTAATTTTATAAATCAGTAAGGCAGAAATTCAAAATTAACATTTTATGACAGCATTTAAATGATCAGTGTTAAAAGAAAACTATTCCGCTTTTTATTATAACTTAATTTTCAACATACTGTTTTTCTGAAGATGTAGGTACCCTGGTCCATTTAAAAAGCAAAAACAATTGTGCTTTGTCTATCATACAATAAGCAGAACATGGATGCTAGAGATGCAGCCTAAAAAGCAGCAGACATAGATCAAGATGTTCTTAACTTTGTAATTTAAATTTAATTATTTAAAATAAAAAAAATTCTTAAGTGACCAATTTGTGAGAAATATAATTCACCTAGATACAAGCAACCTTTAGACAACCTAAAAAGGAAATATATTTCAACTAGATACAATGCAACCTTTACACAAGCTAAAAAGAAAATAAGATGTAACTGAAAATCACCATGCAGCAAACAAAACCAATTGTGCAGGACAGCACAATCATAACCCAAAGAGCACTCCTCCCATTTTCCCAAAACAGCTGGTGGAACAGAATCCAAGGGTGTCAGCTCTGATGCTTCAGTTGTCTCCATGTATTAATGCTTTCCACAACTGCCTCTCCCCACAAAAGATTAAAAAAAAAGTGTGTTTTCCTTACCAGTTGTTGTAATGAATCTTTGTGCTTGCTGTTCAGCTGATTCACAAAGCAACTGACAAGCCAATAGCATTCTACAGGATCCTCCACCATTTCCTCCATTGCTTTAGCAATAACAAGAAACACTTCATCTTCAGGTTCCTGGAAAACAAAGCCAAAAAAAGTGAACTACACAGAAGTATTGGACTATTCTGATTTAAATTATTCTTATATTCCTTTTCTCTGCTATTTGGGACAACAAATGGAAATCAACGTACACAAAGAGCTGTTCTAACATTCATAAATAAGACATCGGGCAGCAGCTGCACTATGATGACAAATACTTATAAAGCAGAGCAAATAAGACTTGTTTTAATTTTAAAACCAAAATACACAACAGGAACTTGGGAAAAACTGTTTCAAAGTTTCGAATTTTCTCAAATGAGAAAATACTACATTCTAACAAGGTAGTGATAATCCCACTTATGTGGACCACATATACTGCATAGCAGCAGAATTTTTCATGCTGTTGGTTGCTAAGGGCCAAACGGGCCCCTCAAACACCTCTGTTGTGAATGTTACAGATATTGAAAACAATGCGGCCATGAGCTGTGCACCTACCTTCAACACACAGAAAATCATTTGGTTTGAGATAAGCTTCCTAGAGACAAATACCTTTTCCAGGTTATGAGCATGTTACTCCCTGCAATCCATGACTAGAAGCATGTGATGGACACGCCATCATCTTCTCTCATGAGGATATACTTTCCCAACAGAAGTATCGGCCTAAACCACAGGTAATGGTATGATTGCACACAGGGTAGATGTAGGCAAACTAACGCTAAAACCAGCTAGACCTCATGCCAACAGCTGACTCAGGAACTGTCTAAACTGGGAAGATGCACAAGGAACGGCTCTGTATTTGCTCCATTTCTCAGAGTCTTCCTTACACAGGCAGTACTGACTACATTAGGAGGCAGGGTAAGAAGCCAGGTTATGTGTCCACAGTGTGATGTACTGTAACCCTCAGCAGCGGTAAGCTATAGAATCACACGGTTTGATGCATGGAGAGTCTTAAATACTACTGAGATATGTCTCCGCCACACAGACTGCTGCAATGCACACATACCCCTACTTAAACTCTCTGCTTTCAGATTGCACAAAACATTTACCAGACTTCTGTCTGGTACTCAAACATTTCAAAATATTTAGATCAATTCAACATCATCTTTATATTCCCCCTGGTTCCACAATAAAACTGCGCTACTATCAAGTAGTAACCTCTTATTTAAGGGGACATTACTGCACAGAAAGCAGGCTGGCATAAAGAGAACAAATGCTTTCTGCAGCAAAACAAACCCAAGTTACAGGACTAATAACTAGTGCTCTGCTATGAAATGCCATCATAGTACTGAGAGCAGCCAGTGCACTGGGATGCACTGACAAAACACGTGCTCAGAAGGCAATACTGCTCTAGAAGGAATTTTTCACCCACTGGGTCACAGCCAAGATCAAGGAAATTTCTCTACAGGAAACTTGCAGGGTAGGACAGCCACATTCCTAGACAATGGTAAGGGCACAAAAATATTCTCCCTCCTTTAACAACAGAATGCTGTATGTAATCCTCCAGATCAAAATATTACTGAACTTTCTAAATTAACTTTAAGCTTTCTTTTTTATTTTTTTTTTAGTTCTTATGTCAAATTTTGTGATGGATAAATTAACATTAAATAAGGGATAAAATCCACTGCAGAAAGCCCTGTGGTTCCTTTCATCACATCCTCTTTGATAGAGGCTTATACATAAGATCCACACACTGTTATTCTCATCTCTCTACTGGCTTACTATTGCAGCAACATCCGTTTGTGAGTACACTGTAAACTGCAGAGTACATGCATGACCTGACAGAAGCCCTGATCAGTTCAGACTAACATAAAAAGGAGGTCAGTACATTAAAGTCTACATTTAAAAACAAATAATTTAAATATATGATGCAATTTGCATTAAATCATGGCTTGTACGGGCTCTGAATTATCCTTGTTCCAGGACATGTAAGAATATATGAGCTCCAATAGGATTATGTCATTTTCATTTCAGTGCTATAAAGAAACTGAAGTGCATTAGAGTACAAAATGCTTGAAAGCTAGCAGGCAAAATACACAAAAGGGATTCTAAGGCATGAAATCTTACATAAGTTCTCAGGGGAAGAAAAAGAGAAAAGCACTTGGACTGAAATTTCTTATTTTATACTAGTACTTCTCTGTTTTGCATTCACCTTACTTGTCTATCTACATGCATTTGTGAGGTGACTTGCAGTTCACTGACCAATGAGAAAGCCAAGTTTCGAGGCAATTTTCCTGATTCCAGTTGATGGATGCGCAGGAAAACATCTACCTGTGGGGTAGAATCATTAACAAAGCGAATTACACGAAGAGCATGGTGTATATCCCAGTACTGCTCCTTTCGGCACTTCATCACCAAAGCATGAGATTCATGGTGAGGAGGAATAATTCCTGACAAAAAATTAAAAAAAAATAATTAAAAGAAAAAAATATAAGCAATTGTAAAGAGAAATCTTACTTGTTACTTGTTTATACTTATCTAGTTTTTAGCATAGTTATAGTTGTGCATTTGCGCCCACCTTCCACTTACTTTGAAAACAAAGTGGGTGCAGAATGATTTTTATCTACATTAGCTGTTCATTTTCTCAAAATCTACACTTTGTCTGAGATGACAGAGAATATACAGATTCAATTAACCAATGCAAAGATTCTGTACAACTCAGTATTAATTACTTTACTCTCTGTATCATAGATTAAATCTCTCTAAAACAACATTCAGAAGCAAAATCAATCACACAGGTTGAATCAGTTATAGATTAAAACTTAAGAATACCACATACACACTTTGCAAGGTAACATTTTTACATTCTTAGCACAACACGAATATTTTTTTTTAGTTTTCTAGGAGAAAAAAAAATTAAAAAAGAAATAAAACTAGTAAGGTAGACAAAATTAAACTGCATCTCCAGAAGAGATGCTCAACATTTCACTAGTGGAGCAGAATATTTCTCAGTGCAGAAACCCATGAGAACAAAGTATTCTTCAAAAATCAGTTTGAAATAAGCTACCTGCTGCTTTTATCTCTCACTTTAAGAAAAAAATATTCCTGCCAAGTGTTAAACCATGAAATGACTGAGTTTAGTAACAAGCACATCAGACAGAAAACTATCTTTTCATTTCCAACTGCAAACCTGCCTGCATTTCAAAAGCTGGGACAGAGCAAGACATTCTTCATGTTATGCCAAAAGAGAGTCAACATCATGACTTTGTATATACATATTGCCAACTGCTCTCCTCAAATACAGAAGACAACCTTAGGCAGAAAGAAAAGAAGCTTAAACAACACAGGGATGTCTAGAAACCATAATGAGTCACACTTGAACAGGAAATTCATGGAGACACTGCTGACACACCATGCAACCTGGGACAGCATCAAGTCTTGGCACATGTCTGAGATAAGGAAGCCTATCCTGTCAGCAAAATTTTCTTAAACTATTAACATTATTTAGAGGACATGTAACACTTCCCATCAGAAATGGACTGGGCTGTCGTTCCAACTACTTCATCATCATGGCTAGGCTTCGTGAACGAAGATTTGGGAAGGGCTCTACCCACGTTTGTTGCAAGCGCATTGGTGGCTAAAAAGGCCAATACGAGAGAGGCATGACCGGTTGCAAAAGGCACAGCAGAAAGACTCCTTAGATGGTATATTCTGCAAGGCTTGATTCCTTCTGCGTGGTCTTTTCTCCTCAGGTTCCAATTACTTAAGGAGAGATATTTTGCATTCCTTTTCATTACCAGCTTTTCTAACAAGTGTTAACACTGAGATACAGCATAAGAGAAGTCCTTGTTCACCTCTGTTCACCCAAGAAGCATACAGAATGACAGTATGGATGCTTGAAATCAGAATATCTCAAGTTGGAAGGGACCCACAAGCATCATTGAGTCCAACTCCTGACCCTGCATAGCACCACCCCAAAAAATTACACGTCTGAGAGCACTGTTCAAGCGCTTCTTGAACTCCGGCAGGCTTGGTGCCATGACCACTTCCCTGGGGAGCCTGTTCCAGTGCCCAATCACCCTCTGGGTGAAGAACCTTTTCCAAATACCTAACTTAAACCTCCCCTGACACAGCTTCATGTTGTGAAATGAATCACTCTGAGTTTAAAATACAAAATCTTTCTAAAAATCAATATAATTTTCCATGCAATTAACTCAGAAGGTGTTTTGTGTTATTATATGATTCATGGATCATCTATCTAAAACAGTCAAAGAGTGACCACTGGCTCTGCAGTGAGCCACAATTTTGCAGACTATATTTTGCTATTATAATTTTGGCTGAAGGATCTTTTATTGAGTCACTTGTCCAAACCTTCAACGCTATATTTCCTACAACTAATATTTTAAAGGATGCAGACTACTTCACTAGGGCCCAGGATGCAATCACCTTTTTTATGGCAAAGGCTTTTATCAAGAAGAATTACTCTGTCAGTTCAACGATCAATGCCAAAAACTTCCAAGTTTTATAATTAGATCTTGCACCTTCTGTGCACTGCTCCTTTATTACCTTTGCCAGAAACAGGTTCACAAATCCAAATAATCAGGGATATGAAGCCACAACTTTTAAACTGTAGAAAATTAGAAGCAGGAAAAAAAAAGAAGGAAAAATTAAAAATAATTTTTAAAACTCATCTAAAACTTTCTAATACACTATTTCAAACTCCAGACACTGTAGTGGAATATGGAAACGAAGAAGATATTTACTTGAACATTGTTCAAGATTATGGCACAGTCTAAGATTAATAAACATTTAAACCAGACAAAAACTGTTTTGGAAAATAACCATTCTGAGGTACGAATCACCAGCCTTCCTGACTCTGAATCACACGCCAAGAATCTTTGTATGAAATATATGTGGGATCTGTATCATGTACTCTGGAGAGCCAAGTGACAAAGAATATGCGGGATAGTTCATAGGCAGCAAAAGACAGCAGCTTCCAAGCCAATCTGCAGACTGATGCTGCTGGTCTCCCTGATGAAACATTTTGGCTCTCAGCTCCTTTCCTGCCAGCACAGCTCTGCTAGCACAAGACTGAGCATGGGAGCCACACTCAAGCTTTACAGAAGTGGCACAAGGCTCCCCCACCAACAGTATGGTAAATCACATTTCTCTTCCACAGATTCAGTCCGACGATGTACCTTCACACTCAACCTGTCAGTGTTTCTCTACATGCAGCAACTCTAAGGAAAACAAACTCTCCAGGTACCTTGTAAGGGTCAGAACTCCTGGGCCTTGCACAACCCCTCCTGTCTCCAAGTGGCACAAGCTCACATCTAGTAAACCAATACGCTTGACCAGTTAGTGCAAAGTCATTAGTACTTTTGAATTAGTCATCTGACTAATGCACTCCAAGGAAAATATAATCTATTTATGGAGTTTTACGGTTTCTGGGGATACCATAACTTGTCTTTGGCCTCATAATTTCTTCAATGGCAAATACAATTCAAAGCCAGAAGCAAAACCAGAAGAAACCAAGATTTTGTTGGAACACAAAGCTTTTCTTTAGAATAAACATGCATTCCATAACTCGCCCAGTTTAAAATTAATCACAGCCTTACTTCAACCTAACTGTATGTTATTTCAGGAACAGCACTGAATATCTTATCAGGTATCGGTGACTTCCTACAACCCACATTTCAAATCCATTTTATAAATGTAACTGCATAGTGTTACAAGGTTAAATACAGAAACACACTCTTCTAGGTACACTTCAGCAAAGTTCTCAAAAACTATCCATGGAACATTGTTTTATAATTGCCATTGTGCATTCGAGGTGGATATAGAAGTAGGCTAAATATGCAGCAGTAGGCAAGGTAGTATAGAATAATCCATGTCATTACCTCTTTAAAAAATACACCTTCCTACATTCTATGTTATATTTCATACCTAGAAGCACTTTCCACACCAGTATACGATACATGGATGGGAGTGGAAACCTTTGACTAAATGTGCAAAGCTTCTCAATATCTGTAGAGAAATAAAAAGAAAAAAAATTATGATAAATTTAAATATAAATAATTTTGCGTCTCTGATCTGCCTAACTATGACAAATCTTTAGCTGCTGATTGCAATCCTCACTTTCATAACATATTATCAATAAGATCTTTCACCACTTCAATTGTGAATAGAATGTGCCCTATAAACTGCAACAATTTTGAAAAATATATACATTGGCTTGATCTACAGTAAAACTACTTTAAGTTTCATCAGGAAGAAACTGGATCATTTTTATAGGTATTTTGTAAATCATGTCACTGTCAAAACAATTAAGGGCTTTTTTAAAGGGAAGACATTTATCTTTCTGTTCTGTTAGAGATGTGGCACTCCTCAGCGACCAACAGCAATAACAAAATCTTCATTGTTTTGAAGTTATATGGAATAAACAGCATGAAATGATGCATTCTCTGATTAAAATTGCTTTCACTAAAAAACTTTGAGTTTCTTCAGCACAAAGAATGAGAGAAGAAAAAAAAGGAAGCAAACTGACAAATCCTTGATAGTTTTAAAAACAGATTTTCAGATCTTCAAAAGTCAAAGGTCTACTAGCAATAACTGAGACATTAGTGGTAAAACATGAAAAACTTAAATGAGTATTAAGCACAGCAGCTTAACATTTTCTATTACTCCCTCCCCAGCTCCTTATCATCAAAGTAACAGAGGAAACAGTGAAATCAACTTGCCCAAACGGTCATCTTTTAACAGAATTTCCAGTGACTTCTTTTCTTCAACTCCACGAAACCCCACTTTTTCATAATACACTGAGCGAAAGTTCCTCTGAGAGTCATCAGCCATTACTGATTCCTTTTGGAGAAACAGTAATTCTCTTGAGACTTACAAGAATATATTCCTTTTATGATAGAGTCAAGTATTTTTGCACACCAATAGAAGTTAACTGCATATGTCTCTATAGCAGTAATACACCCTACAGAACATTAAATCTTCCAAGATTTTTTTCATCATATGCTAACAGAGAAAATCATTAAAATAATTTAATCTAAACTAGGTCTAAGGAAATCAACTTTCCAAACAAAACACAGGAAGTTTTTATTTTTTAAGTTATTCCCATAGCAAATTATGATACTTTTCAAAAAGTTTAAAAAAAAGTGTGCTAGAGAGACACTTGGTCTTTTACATCATACCCCGTATTTCAAAACCAATATAAAAAATACAGTAAAGAGTCTGACAAAATTTTGGGTATAGAAACCCTACTCAAGTATAACTGTCACCCAGGTAAGCAAAATAAATAGGCTTCATACTCACCAAATGAGGCAGTGAGAAGGAAGGACGAGCCAATTTTGGCCTCAGTGGCACAGGGGGTGACAGGAAAGAATAAAGCTAGGGATGTAGGTTTCTTCTTACGTTGCAGATATGAATTAAATGTTCATGTTGTTACCTGAGGTGTCAGGTGTGCCCCTGGGCAGCTGCTGCAAACAATCCATTTATTAATAGTCCATCAGAAATGACATAGATGGTGCAAAATACATAGTTTTGGCTATACCCCCATAGTGATAAACTGGTTCCAGCCCCTGTAACTATGACAATGTAGTGGAACCCCTGTAGTGAAAACAATGGTAAATTCCAGTGAGTACTTTGTGTTTCATAACAATTGTAAATGAAATTTCAATTCAGTTCAACTTTCTAAATATCAAATCTCTCTCCTCTGCAGGCTTGCAAATGTTAGAAAGCTCAGTTTCCTAACTCAAAGGACTAAAACCAATATTAACTTTTATGTGCTGTGACAGCAGCAAAACTTGAAGAAAAATAATTTATTATGAGTGAGGGGCAATGGGTGAATGATGCATTGTGAAGCTTTTCTAGATAAATTCTTCTTTTCTCTGCAGAACCAAAGTACACATCAGGAGCAAACTACTTGTGGATATAAAAAAGGCCACAATTTTGCAAAGAATGCACATGTTTAAATTTGTATATCCACCAGGCCTGTATACCCACCTGTGACTGTTTTTAGAGCTTTGTACCATCAGGGCCAAGACCAGCCAGAAAAATATAAACCAGGGAACTAATGAATTAAGGCTTTCTGAGACAGGTCAAATATTATTTCAAAACCAGAGGAAAAAAAAATATTACTTGCAAGACATGCCAGTCCTGCACTAGCCTATGAAAATGACTCTGATGTTGATGCATTGTGCATTTAAGGGTCCAGTGATCACAGTGTTCACTATTTACACTGCAGTCATGTCTAATGGTGACTTGTGGTGCTACAGATACTCAACTACTTTTAAAAATGCTTAGATTTTCATTTACATTTTCAAATTTTTAAAATCTGAATTTAATATGTGCTATTTAGAAAAATTAAAAAAAAAAAAAGCAAAGATGTTTAGCCCGTACCACTTGTGGAAAGCTGACAAGAGAATCACAGAACAGGAATAATAAATATAATTTGAAAAATAACAGCACTACCTACAAGAAAGGAATACTATTTTAATAATTTTAAACTACCACTGTAACAGCAATACATTTTATTTACTCAGTGGAAAAAAGCAAGAATATAGTTTCCTCCTCACTCATAATTAAGCATATGCATTTTCATGTCAGGCAAGCGACCAGTGTTCCAACCTTCACATGAATCTACAATATAATGGAAAAGGGAAGGGGGGAAACAAACCCCCAGCCAGCTCACTGGAAATGTTCTGTACAAAACCGTGCAATTTACTCGCCCTGTCTTCAACTAAAGCATTTTCGGCCTTAGCAGCGGATTTCACGGTACCCCTGCGTTTCACGTCGGGTGATGCAGCAGCGGCGGCAGCGCCGCTCAGACCCCGGCTGAGGAGCCACACGCCATGCAGCGCACTCCGCCCGCCACAGAACACCCTCCCTCGCAGGCCCTGCCGGAGGCTCCCCACACCCGCCCATACCTCGGGGCTAGACTCCCGGCCTCCGCCACATTCCCAAAGGAAAATACGGGCACACTTGGGCACGGGATCAATGCCCCCCCCACTTCCCGGGAGACCGAACGGCACCGGGACGCCACTTCCGGCACCTCCGGCAGGCGGGCGCGGCCCGAGCGCGGGGCGGGCGCATGCGCGTACGTGTGCCGGCCCAGCGGCGGGCGTGAGTCTCGGCCGGTGACCCGGGCGTTTGGGGGTGTCTTCCCTTTATGGGGTTGTCTTCCCTTTATGGGGTTGTTGCAGCTTCTCGGGCTCACCCGGTCTGTCACGCACCCTGGCTGTGCTCCCCGTCACCTCTCAGTTCGAGCCCTCTGCTACCCCCATCCATCCCTCAGAGCCGGCTCCTGCTCCGTGCTGCTGCCCGCATGGCGTGGGGTGCGGAGAGGGCTGCACCGCGTTGTTTGCTATAATTGATGTACTTGGCGTTTTGGCCCCATCCCCAGTGACTCCTGGGGACACTTTACTTAGAGCAGTCCCTAGGAACCGGAGTGCGTTTTCCAAGTCCCAAGATTTACTCCGGCGGATGTGACCAAAGTACCGGGTGCTAGATATCCTGCCCCTCAGGACAGATAAAGGACCACTGTTCAAAGCCTCAAATATCAACCTGTGCTGCTAAAACTGTGAAACATTAAACAAATTATATGATTTTTATTTTGTGTTTGGGTTTTTTCTAGTTGGTGGGGATGTTTTTATTCAGATCTTTGAGACCTTGCCAGCCTCTAGCTGTGCGATTGCAAGGACTAGGCAGCTGCTTTTAGCAGGAGCTGAGTTTTCAGCTCATGGCCCTTTCCAGGAGCAGAAACTTGAACGAGACCATCAAACATCCAAGTTAGCCGCCCCAAGGTTTGGAAGTACTAGAATCGTAGAATCAGGGAATCAGTTAGGTTGGAGAAGACCCCTGAGATCATTTGAGTCCAAGCTATGACCGAACATCAGCATGTCAACTAGACCAACAAAGTGCCACGTCTAGTCTTTCCTTAAACACTGCCAGGGACAGTGACTCCACCACCTCCCTGGGCAGTCCATTCCAATGTTTAACAACCCTTTCCATGAAGAAATTCCTCCTGATGTCCGGCCTGAACCTCCCCTGCAACAGCTATGTCTTCTTGTCCTGTCCCTTGTTACCTGGAAGAGGCTGATCCCTACCTGGCTACAACCTCCTTTCAGGTAGATGTAGAGAGCAGTAAGGTCATCCCTGAGCCTCCTTTTCTCCAGGCTAAACAACTCCAGCTCCCTCAGCCGCCTCTCATAGGAATTACCCTCTAGACCCTTCACCAGCTTCATTGCCCTTCTCTCGACCTGCTCCAGCACCTCAATGTCCCTCCTGAATTGAGGGGCCCAGAACTGGACACAGCACTAGAGGTGAAGCCCCACCAGTGCCAAGTACAGCAGGAAAGAAAACAAGACAGCTGCTTAGATTATGTGGCCTATTTTCAAATGCACGGAGCATCCCATTATTTTAATGTTAACCAACACTTTTGGAACTGCCCAGGGGAAAGCTCACTGTTGCAGAATAGGCAGGCTTTTGTCGGACCCAGCTCACACAGGAGTGTGTTTCTTGCTCAGTACAAAGCCTAGAAAATATATTTGTTGAAGTAATTCCACACAGCAGCAGGTGGCAGGCTGGTTCCATTTTTGGTCTGTTCTGGCTTCTTCAACTCGATACATCTTTTATCGATAGATGGCACTTGTCTCTGGATGAGATCTGTTTGGTGGTGTTGGGAGCTAACCAGTATCACAAGGTTTATGAAACAGCTACTGAAATTAAATCTCTACAGTTTTCAATCATTGATTTCTGGCCTGATCAAAATGTATTACATTGCTATAGTAATATATACCTGTCCTGAAAAACAATAAAACAATAAAACTAATGCACCTCGCACAGTAAAGTTTCTAAATCCGATATATAGAAAGCTTCTTAATCGTATAACTTATACACAGAGATTTTCTTAATGGTGCCTGTAAACACTTTGTAACATAATAGGTTATAGTGGGATCAGTTGTATATATGTTGTTGACATAAATATTTAGGTCAAGGGGAAATGAATTAGTTTAATATGAGATTTTTCAAAACACAAATGAAATTAAAGGCATAGGTTGAGCATGAACTGTTAATGACTACAATGATTATTATGTGGTGACACATTCACAGTGAAACAAAGATGACTAACCTATTTTTCAGAAAGACAGCAATGCACAGAGTTGGACTTTCTTACTTTAACAGCCTTTTTATCTTTTACGTGCCCTTCTACATCCAACTGGACTAGCTAAGTTACTCTGTATGCTGTAAATCAGTGTTGTAAAGCACACAAGTGACTCATTACTTAAATATTTAATTTAAAACATTTTATATTTTCATAAACCAAATAATGACCTTATTTTCCTTTGTCTAGGGACATAAAGTATCTTCATTCCTATTGACAGAATCTTTTTCTTGCCACTGTAAATGAAAGCAGAAATTAATCATTAATAGCTGCTAGTGTCAATCAGCCAAGTGGAGGTCTGTGTTTATAATAAAATTGATTAATACATCATTAATCAATACTACTTTCCTAGGCATTTGTCCAATGATAATCTAAACAGTGATTTTTATTTTTTTTTTAAACTGCAATAACATCAGAAAAGGTAGCACACATAAAAGATAAAAGGGAAACAGGTTTGGAATTGGCTTGGGATTATCTGAGATAGCAGAGCCAAACTTATTAGTACCCTGCTAGCATACTGCATCTCTTGTTTTTATCCATGACTTTGACTACTACTGCATTTCCATTTTGTAGTGATATCTTTATATTGCACTACTGAATTACTCACTGACATACAAAGTCACATGAGAAGGAAGCCAAGTAGTCAGTGCTAATGTCTTTTATTACAAAATACGAACTGCACTGTGTCCCTGGTTCTCTATGACATGCTACTAAAGCTGGAATAATTTTATGGGAGCCATGTGCTGCTCTTGAAAAGTCAGTTTCATCTCTACTATATGACTGATTTATCAGTGGAATTACAGAAGGTTATCAGAAGCACACATTATTATGTGAATTTATCAAAAGAAGTGGAAAATAGAAAGCAATGGAATGCCAATTTTATGCAGCATGGAGGTCCATATTTACATGGCATTATAACATATGATGTAACATTTAAAAAGTAAGTGAAGTTGTCATGTGGGTTTCATTTGCTCTAAACTAACAGAAGATGTACTTTAAAAAAAAAAAGACACTTGTCTGATAATATCTTCACAGTGATTCAGAAGCAGAGTGTACTTTCAGCTTGGTAATGCACCATCCCTTGTTCCTGTTGTAATAGGAAATAATTGATGTTTAAGGAAGGAGTTACAAGTTTGGACATTTCAGCTTTTCTAAGATATCATCTCCTCCTTCTTGACAAGCATGAATAGTTCCAGATGCAGAGTAGGGCTGTGTTAATGGAAAGGACAATTTACTAATACATTCATATAACCTTTTCATTATGAAAATCAGCAGACCTAGAAGAGCTTGGCCCCATTTCCTGGCCAAAACAGCATTGCTCTGCTGTTTACATTCTACCTGAGAGAAGAATGCAAATGTTGTCGCTATTAATGTTCATAGTTTAATTCCTTGTTGAAGTCAGACGGCAAAAATATAACACTCTGGGGTAAAAAAGTTATAAAGCTGTTTGGCAGCAAAGGCGAATTCAGCCTTTCATTTTAGCATGGTAGGACAACAGACAGGTCTGTCTCCAAACAGAGCAAACACTGTCTTTGTAATCATGAACACCCATCTCCAAATGACAACAAGGAAAAGGCTTATGGGACTGAAAATAGCATAAGGAGCAGATGAACTTGGAAATCTGAGTTCAAATATGTCCTACCTCTCTGTTTTCTTATCCTGCTAGAGAACGAGAGTACTTCAGAGGTGACTTGCTTTTGTCTGCAAAGGTATACAGAAACTGCAAGACAATTATGAAGAAAATAACCAATTGCAGTTGCTTGCTCCATACGTAGCAGAAATAGGGGAGTTTTTGAGACTATGTTAGTGATTTTTTTAGGATATATTCTGGATTCTAGTCATAACTTTGATTTGTTGCATAACCTCAGATCAGCTGTGCCTGCCCTAATTATTCTCCTACCACCTTGATTAGTAGCTGTGTTAAGATCAATGTTTTTGTCTGAAAAAGAGTTGCAAGTTTTTAAATAGCATCAAACACATGCTCTGTACTGTCACTAAGCATGGCATTTTTGGGGCACTACACAATAAATAATAAATAGTCCCAAATAATATTATCACAGGTATGTTACTCCTTAATTGAGAAATGACAGTGAGATGACAATGAGACAAAGATTGTTCAGTTTAGGGACTATGGGAAAATCAGATAATACACCTTGAGAAGCCTTATCAAGGGTTCTGGTATATGGATGAGGTATAGTTATTATGATCACTATGCATGGTTAGAGGCAAGGCAAAAATATGCAGCTATCTGCCACAAAGTGAGAAAGCAAGTAGGAATCAGTCTGTGCAATATTTTTCCTTGTATCAGAGCTGTAAAGGTGCCTAAATGCCAATTCAAGGTCACAAGCTGGATATGATAGTTAGATTCTGTGTTCCTCACTCAACCAAGTATCCCTGATTACAGGTAGATGCCCCGTCCCTGAAAACATTCATGGTCAGGTTGGACAGGACTCTGAGTAACCTGATCTAGCTGGAGCTGTCCTTGATCATTGCAGAGGACTTGGTCTAGATGAGTTGTACAGGTCCCTTCCAACCCAAAGTATCCTATGATTCTGTGATTGCAGAGGCAGATCAAGCTTTGCGCCCCATTTCTACTCTCCTCAGCCAGGACCTGAGCTGAGAATGGCACTCAACTTGCTGCTGGCACTTTTGGCCACAGAGACAAGTCTGTATCTCCAACCTGCTGCCTAGGCTTAAAAGCAAAAGCCTAACCCAGTGGCTTCACTGGGACCACTAATGTAAGGGTGAAAGGATCGAATCCAACCACAGTGACCCAGCAGATACAGCACTTGTACCTCAAAAGAATAATTTGTCATTTAATCACTTCTTTTAGAAAGACTGTCTACCAGGGGGGAGGGGAGCCTTGTGCACAAGCAGGCT